TGAGCTTTCTCACCTTTTAGACAATGAACTTGGATGAAAATTCCAGGCTAAGGAATTTTTGAGGTAGGTCTTCCTTATCTCCTGTTGAAATAGCTTCATTTAGTAAAAACTGCACCCAAACTGGAGCAATGAGCAAAATCTGACATGAACTTAAAATTGCAATTTTTTTTTTCTTTCTGGATCAATGCATACTTAACCACCTAAATAAAACTGGAAAATGTCAGCAAGATGGACTGACAAGATAAATTATGTATCAGGGAAGCCTCTCCTCTGAGAAGTACACACTCGCAGACACTTCAGGTCCACACCACAGACCATATTCCTTCAGGAAACCCAGTATGGTTTTGGAGACATTAACAATGTACATGAATTCCTCTCTAAAATCTAAGTGACTGGGGAATCTAGATGCAACAGATAAGGCATATACATTCTGTAGGGAAACAAAAGTCTCATGCAAACCTAACCCAAAGTAGTCAGAATTCAGAATGCATACTCCTCCTTATGTAGATTACTCTCCCCAAAAGCTCATCTGTTTTATTTATCAGTATAAACAACAGCAGGATCGAGAACTATGTACAAGTCTGGGGAGTGCAGACCTGTGCTTAGTACCAGCAAAGGACATCAGCACAAGTACCTAGTCCACAGATTTGCTGTGGGATTGTAACTACATATTAAAAACTATAACAGATTTATTTCCACAGCTCAATTTCCCTGCGTGACTGCAAGTAAAAAAAGAAAAAATCTAAATACCCTTAAAAATCTGAGCCCTACCCACTGTGGGTCTCATTTTCCAATGCAGTATCTTTCAACTTCTTAATGCATTTCATGAGAACAAATACATGGAAGATTGAGAAGCAGTCAGAAGATACTCAACTTGCCTAAGATTTTTTTTTTCCCTTGCGAAACTAATGTAGGCAAAAAGAACTTTCTGTAACTTTGGAGACAAAACACACACACCAGTCTCAAATGCCATCACAACAGACAGTGGAATTATTTCTTAAATATTGGCATTGTGCATTTGTAAATTTTAAATTATTAGAGGTATATATTGATTTGACCTTGGGGCAAAGCTTGGATTCATTCATCTACTGTGAACACAGTCATAAAACAGCACTGGTATTTTGTATTCCTCTGCACAGTCCATCAGTACTGCCTGATGTGTTTCTAGATGGCAGCTAGTATGGACTTTCACGGAGCCTGCAAGTCAAATGAGTGCCGTCACACCCCGTGAAGTGACAGAAGGCTAACAAACATTTGAGGAAAGGCTGCAACAGAGTTCTGTGCGTCTCATCTCTCTGGATGCTCGCACACCTTGTCAGCTGGATGTACCAAAATGCACTGGGATTGCTGTGTTCCCAGAAGGCTAAAAGGACCAAGTGTCTTCACACTGCCAGCGTGCAGGGAATGGAATTCCATCTCTGGCTTTCTGCAGACTTACCAAATAAACCCCATCTCAGCAAAACAGCCATAAGCAGAAGCCATTAAAAACAGCTATGCAAACACCAGCACCTTCTTATCCTCTTTCTAAACATGCTAATTATTTTCTCTTCTCTCCAAAGGGGTGATGACTACCAGTCTGCCTGTTCCAAACTTTGGGGAAAGGAGTTAACATCTTCCTGAGGAGGAAGGAGTAGCTCCAGATTTCCACTCTGTGAGGGTAACAGGTAAAATCTTAGGGGTGCAGAGAGCTCTGTCTCGCAGTCTCTTCTCACTGGGGAGGATCTGCCCCTCCAAATGTAAGCAGACTAGTGGGGGAGCAAAGATTTCCTCCTCCCAGAACAAGGGAATGCAGAAACTGCAGCCAGGCACCCAGACCAAGTGTTAAGCACTAAAATAGTCTCTTGAACCTATCACATAGCCTGGGGACCACTCTTAGCGAACTGTGGCACTTGTGAATGATCTATATATCTACATACACACCAGCAGGAGTGAGACGCATCTCTAAGTACAGTTATAAAAAATGTATAGGTTTGTAGATATGAATAGGAAGATATCAAAATCCTTCACACTTGGATATCAAAATCAGAGAAAGGCAAATTTCTGTCGTAAGACAGAATTTAATTCTGAAACCATTAGTTTGGTGGGTTCCTTGTTTATGCAAATTACACTAAGAAACTGTAATATATAAAAGTGTCAAGAGAGATTATTACTTAGTGATGGCAAGTACAAGTACCCCAAAATAAAGAGATGCTTAGAGACCTGATACCAAAAGACATTTGTGCAGCTCCATAATACTCTTTTTCAGAAAGCCTAAGACTCGCAGGATGATAAACCAGAAAACATCGTGACGTATCTCACTAGTACTTCCCAACAAGAAAAATAGGGCATTTTCACACAGATTTCTAGGAAGTAACTTAAAAATATTTTGGCTTAGAATCAGAGCAATTGCTCAGAGGAGCAACTGTACTCAGAATTTTTCAAATTATGAAGACTGATTCCAGCATTTTAATGCCCTAGCAGGTAATCAAACACGTCAGCGCAGATGCTCTCACTGCACTTACTTTACTGCTTTCCATGCTTTACAGCTTTGTTTCTACAGAAATTAATATTCTCTTAATATTTGGAAAAAGAATTGCTAATGATAAATGCACTTCCAAATCACAGAACAGTTGAGGTTGGAAGAGACCTCTGGAGCCCACCTACTCCAAACCCCATGATAAAAGCAAGTTCAACTAGAGGGGGCTCTTCAGAGCCAGTGACACAGTTGCTCAGTGCCACAGTCCCTTCCCCAAAGTGAAAGCCATGTTCTTCAAGCGCACCCTAGTGAAAATCCTGTTGAAGACTTTTTTTTTCTGGTTTAAAATGCTGCAAGTGTCTATACTTAGCTATCAGTGTTTTGCTGCCTTGATGCTGGGGTCTGGATTTTAAAAAACACATTTATTAAAGAAAACATGGAGCAGTAGACACCCCAGTACCTCATAAAAATCCATTTAGGTATTTTACCTGTCCATGAATTACACTAAATTACTTTCCACAGTGATATGCTGAATGTGAATTACACAAGCCTTCACAAAGGTCTTGGAAAATTACTCATTTTTCTTTTGAGTATTTTCATTTCTATAAAATATTATGTTGTTGCTGTTATGAAAGAGGCTTGTGTCACCATAAGTTAAAATCATTGAATCACAGAATATCTCGAATTGAAAGGACCCCATAAGGATCAAGCACAACTCTCTGCTCCTCGCAGGACTACTTAAAACTAAACCATTTGACTACGAGCATATTCCAGATATCCCTTGAACTCTGACAGACTTGATGCTGTAACCACTGTCTCAGGGTTTTCAGTGATCCACTACCCTCCCAGTGAAAAGTCTTTTTCTAAAGTCCAGTCTGAACTTCCCCTGAACCTCTGGCACCTGCTCTTGTTAGATTTCAATTGGTTTGGGATTGCCCAGCTCTCTAGCCTATCCTGACCTCTCTGTAAGGCCTCTCTATCCCAGAGGGATGCTACAACTTCCCCCTAATTTAGTATCATTGGCAAACTCCTTGATGTACATTCAATTCCTGCATCTGGATCATTTATAATAAACATTAAAGAGCACTGACCCTAAAACGGAGCCTGGGGGTGACTGGCTGCCAGCTTGATGTAATCCCATTTACTATAACTCTTTGAGCCTGACCTGTCAGCCAGATTAAGATAAAACTACTTATGAATCCTGGCTGTGTCTTGTTACTGGCATAGTAACTTTAAAGATATGGTTAAGAATATTATACAAAATATATACAGAAAATAACCTACGGAAAGGATCTATAAAAATAAAGCTTTCAGGTTTGTAGAGGCCGTAAACAATTTTGCAATAGCCACATGGAGAAGGTACCATAACAATAAAGAAACCTTAATTAATGGTCCTGAAACCATTTCACCTGCAGGATAAACCTCTCTGAAGTGTTCAATTAAAAAGCACATAGCTAAGATAAACTACAAGGAGCCATATACATTTTAATTTACCACCATTACTAATTCTGCCCTTTCAGACGACATGTTTAGTTGCTCCTTTATAACTCTTCAAACTGCATTTGACTGTCAGGCTGTAATGTGCACGTGTGTGCTTACCTGGTATCTCACCTTTAAGCAAACTTAAAACAAAACAACTATGGAATTTCCCACACTTAACATATGACTCTCCACTGTTTAAATGAGTATCGGGGGGGAAAAAAAAAAGAGAAACCCACCAGTTCTCTCATTTTGTGCTACATCATTTTCATGCTACAACTGAACAAACTCCCTTTAATTGTCATCTGTTCCAAAGACCTGCACACGTGCCTGCACCAGTTTCGTTTGCTGCTAAGTCCTGCAGGGCCCGCACATGCAACTGAACAAAACCCATCTGACCAAGACATGTGGTACGATACAGTACTATTCGTAGTTCCCAGCTGTCAAAGCACAGCACATCCTCTAGTGCTGGCCAGGCAGGGAGATATCTAGGTCAAACAGTACTTAACTATCTCAGTCTTTGCCCTCAACAAAATTGTCAGACTAGAGAAAGCTAAATCTGTCATTGGATGCAGTTTTTTAACGCTAATGTAGAGCTGTGCTTGAGCTAACTAACATCAGCGGCAGTGATAACTCACACAGGGATAACTGAGTGCTGACAATACATATCACTAAATTATTATTACATTCTGTTCAAGATCACTTGATAACACTTCTAATCACCTAAAAGAATATTTTTTCTTTTCATTTGGCTGTTATCTACTTTAAGGAGGACATATCCCTTGCTTCTAATCAAATAGATGCAAATGGTCCAGTCAATGGTAGTCCTGCAAGGAGCAGAGAGCTGGAGTCGATGAACCTTATTGGGTCCCTTCCAACTCCCTATGGCTTCCTTCCAACTTGAAATATTCTATGACTCTGTGATAAGTACCGTGGTATATGACAAGTACATCAGAAGTCACATTGCCTCTCTGGTACAGTAACACAAGTCGCATATTTTTTCCAGTCAATAAATGATTTAAGATATTTAAAACAGATGTTAAACACTTTTTTTTCCAGATAAATATGAAATCTTATTCCTTTTTATTAACACATGAGGGACAGAAAGCAGAACAAGAGTAACTCTTAAGCAAAACCAACCTATTTTATTTTTGTCAGGTTAGCATTTCACTGTTAAACAGTTGCACAAAAGAACTTCAGAGAACTGTACCTCATAGTTTCCCATTAGTTATCATGGCTACTGAAAACATACAAAGCATTTAAAACTTGTTTTAACCTGCAGCTCTCATAGTTAATAGTTTTTGTAAAACTTCAGCTGTAACTGAACACCAATAAGCATCAAAAAGTTACAGGTACTTTCCATATTAAATTAATGTCAGATAAACTATCATCAGTAAAGTACAGCACTGCAAAAATATTCCAATAAATTTTCATTAGAAAGACCGTACCTGAAATCTAGAACACTGCATGTACATAAAAGCCTATAAACAAAAATCTGTCAGAAAAATCAGTAAATGGTTCAAGTGTGTCAACAGTTGTATTAAATAATACTTAGTAGACTACTAAACCCTACCATTTGAAAAAAACTCTTTAGAAAGGTTGTGGTGGATATATTCACTGAATACTTTTGTATTACATCATTCATAGGCCAAATGGAGCTGTCTGTGGCATAATGCATTTTAAATGAAAGCAAGCTGGCCACACGTACATAAGGCAAACACATATCAAGGCAGACTCGCAACAGCAAGTCTGCAATGGTGATGACAGTAATCACCTCGTTGTATGTGTACAGATCATGCATAAAAATTCTTGTTTTGCAGCATGCAGCAACAAGAGATATCTTCCTTTAGTAAGAAACTGAAACTGCTATACCTTCAAAAGCGCACCATGAATCACTGCTTCCTCAAGAGAAATTATCAATACTGTGTCTTCTGTCATCAGTACTATGGAAAGCTGGAACTAAAAAACTAGAGCGAGCACATAAACTTAACTTACTCTGAAGAAATAAAACTAAACCAGAGAAAACAAATAAAAAATTTTCTGAAGTTGAGAGTTACTCATAGTAGTGCAGATAATGACCTCTGTTACCAAGAATTCCACTTTCATATGTAAATCCAGAAAAAAAGGAGTCTTGGAAAATGAATTCAGTAACAGTAGATGAAATGCAATAAATTTTGGCAAAAACATAAGCAGGTTCCTATCATAGACCACAAAAATGTCACATATTTGTGGAAATATGTGCACCAATCTAGCTTCGAAAGTTCTTCATAATCTAGCAGTTATTAATAAATTCAGAAGCAAAAAAATCTGCTTTCAACTGCAGTAAGTTACTAATTAACAAAATGTTATCTGCAGTAAATTTGTAACCTATCAGGAAAAGAAATTAATAAATTAATTGACTTCTGGGTTTGGAAGAAAAAAACCATTTAAATCAGTTTAATTTATTATATGAGCATTTAATTCTATTTTTATATATGAAGAAGTTGGGCATGTTATTCTGGAGCCTACTTTTGAATATATTTCCGAAATTCCACAATCTATTCAAGGTTTTCTTTTGGGAGTGGAGAAAAAAACAAGCAGGTGGAAGAGAAGGAAGTGAAATCTTTATCGTGTCATATTCTGCACTCCTTGTATTTTCACAGCCAATTTTATCAATCTCTTCTCTAAAAAATCTGCATTAGGAAGACACATCTAATATTATGGGACAACAGCAGTCAGACCACTTTATAAAACTACTAACATACCCTACATTCAAAGTGTTGAGTGCTGCAATCAAATACTATTTCTGGAATTCCCTGGGTGAATTTCTCTCTCTAACTCCTCCTCCTCACTTTCCCTCTTGCTCTGTTCTTGAACGTTCATAGTTCCTTCATCTCTGACATCAAAGCATTGGAGTTCAAGTTGAAAATCTTGGTTCTTTCATGGAAAAAAAGAAAAAAATGTTCATAGAACATACAGCAGTTACTCTAAAAGTAAAGCCAAGCATGATGATATTTTACACACTTCTGTCTTCTTATCACACAACAGAATAGGTTCATGTTTCTGTCTTTTCTAAAAGATTACTGAAATTTGAGTTATAAAAGTGAATGTGAAGAATTTTTTTATTGCTGCCTCTGATGACTAGCATCAGCACTCACTTTCTGCAGTCCTTGTCTCTTCAAATTAACAATAGGGGTAGAGATGGGTGCTTGTGATTGAAGCAATTCAGCCGTAGCTTTCTTCTCAATAAACTCAGCTATTTCATCTTCTAGAACTTTTTTCTTTTCGTCTAATTTCAGTTCCTCTTCTTGATGCATTAGCATAAGACATTCAAACTTAGTCTGCACCTATTTCAAGAAAGCACAAATAACGCTTCCAGCTAGTAACACAAGGTGGTGATATCACAATATAAAACCCCTCTGTAAATTAGCAGCAAAACCTACCTCAACTGGTGTTAATAGTCATAAGAAATTGCAGTTATTTCCCCAAACTGTTACGACTGAAAAAAACAGCAAATCATAAAAACAATCATTCCTATCATACTGTTCTCATGAAGCTGGGCTAATACACTAAGTACAAGTGGAAAACATGGAAGGCACTGAATACTAGATTTCCTACTACATTTTACATTTTGTTATATCAAAAATAAGGAGGCCTTTAGAGATGAAACAATTACCAACAGACAGATTAAATCAGGATCTGTCAGGTAGAATATACTTCCCTAAAATCAAATGGGTAAGGAATCATACACACTTTAGTTACATAGATATGCATTTTCATATATATACATGATTTTAATATGTGTATTAATCACATTTAAATATTAATATGTACACGCACAGAGTTAAGTCTGGTTGAGGAGTTATTGGTGGATGTAAGAAGTTAACTATTCTGCAGTAATTGTTCTTTGATTGTTCTTTTGACATATTAATGCTTTTAAATCTGAAGACATATTTTAACCAGTTTAAACCTACTGTGAAGTTATGCACAATGACCAAAGAGCACTTCACTCCATTCTTCCTCATCTCCCATCTTCTCACACACTAATTTTCCTAGAATCCTGCTTCTATATTAATTTGTATTGGTGTAACTCTGAGTGCAGCTACACTGGTACAGAAATCAGAGAGATTTATTTCCATCTTTTGCAAAGAAGAAGAAGAAATAACTAAGACTATAAACACAAAAGTATGCCTGTTCTACCCAGCAGAGCTCTCAAATTTTATAGGAGCACCTACAAGTTTTCTCTAATGAAGGATGTGAAAGCAATCTTAAGTACAACAGAAATTCCGGGTTTTCTTTAATTTCCAGGTACACCCACACCCTTCCTGGCAAATGAGAAGCAAGAGCATATGACGAATGTTCTTTAGGAGTGACTGCATGATCACTTTCCCACATCAGGAACTTGGAAAACTAATATCCATAATTCAATTGCAATATTCAGAGTTCACAAACCACCTCATATAAATCATAGAAGGAAAATATCAAAGAGTATCACAGATACTGTGTAAGACCTTGCTGAACCTACTTTGAACATGGTCAAGTATTCTTCCAATTGGATAGCCTCATACTGAGAAGGACTGAATCTGATTTTTTTTTCTCCACAAGTAGCATGGGGATCTCAACAGATTTAGAAAACAAATATTAAGCCTCCTTATTTAAAATATGCACCTGAACACCTCAAAAAAACTGCCACAGCTTTGTTGGGAAACTGATGTACAGAAAAGAACATTAATAAAAATGCACAGGTTTCCAATTTCAGTTAAACCAGTATTTGAATATAAATACACATGACCATGATAGAGTCTGGCAGAAAATAGATGAGAAGATTCTGTTTTGCTAGTCCAGCTTGACAGGACTAAATCTTCAACAACATATTCAAGAAATATTCCACATCTCCCAGTAGCCTTAACGTAGCTGGGAACAGATGAGATTTTAAAACCAGAACCAAACCAAACCAACAAAAACGCCACTTTCAAACCTCTCAACATGAAGGTTGACCTTAGATTTAATAACTGAATCTGGAAGTCATAAACATACATAGCCCACTCTCTGAAAAAACAACGCATGGCATTTTTTCCTAAAATCTTTGTTTTTACAGAGCGATCTAAGCATGAAAAGTACCTAATGTGCTGCTATAGCTTACCAATGTTTCTCAGCACACTGCTAGAGAAGACAAAGAAACACAATTATTATATTCATCACTCTTTTACTTCACCATATCAACTCTTACTCTATAGACTTGGTCCTGCTATCCACCAAAGCCATTAGACTGTAAGCTTCCTCCTTCCAAAAAATGATTGCCATTTATAGAATGATATAATCATTTATGTTGAAAATGACCCTTAAAATCAAGTCCAACCATTAACCCAGTACTGCCAAGTCCACCACTAAACCATGCCCCAAGTGCCACACTTACAGGTCTTTTAAATGCCTCCAGGGATGGTGACTCCACCACTGCCCTGGGCAGCCTGTTCCAGTGCTTGACCACCCCTTCGGTGAAGACATTTTTCCTAATATCCAATCTAAACCTCCCCTGATGCAACCTGAGGCCAATTCCTCTCATCTTGTCACTTGGCAGAAGAGACCAATCCCCATTTCACTATAACCTCTTTTCAGGTAGTTGTAAAGAGCAATAAAGTCTCCCCTGAGCCTCCTTTACTTCAGGCTAAACAATCTCTCAGCTGCTCCTCCTAAGACACATTCTCTTGTTTGCTTGTGTCTAATCAATCTGCTAAACCAATCAATCTATGTAATCAATCTGCTTTTGATTTAAAGCATTACTGTCCTCAAAATATTAGGAAATTATAAACATCAACCAGTGATATTGTTAAGAACTTAACTGTTCCGAAGCTCAGCAAACAAGACAGACAGGCATGCTTACCTTTTGCTCTGCCTCTTTCAACATTGCTGCTTTCTCCTTCACTCTCTGCACAAATCGTTTTTTAATCTCCTCCTCTTTTCTTTGCAGTTCAAGGTAGAACTTATGCCTCTTTGCCTCATAGGCTTCCTGTAGACTGAAGTCCAAAAACAAGCAAGTTTCCAGCACGTTGCTTTATTCAATATGGAAAACCAACAATCTAGAAAATCATTTAAACAATTAATATTCATCTGAAATCTTAATTTCTACAGCTTCCCACATAAAAATTCATAAACAAACCTGAACAGAAGCAAGCATCTTATATTTCTATTTTTTTATTTATGTAAACAACTCAGAGTAAAATTATTTATGCTAACTGCTCCTGGGCAATTTACATTTCAAAGTAAATACAGCACTTTAGGCATCTAATGTTCTAAAGTCTTGAGTTATACCTTCCTGACTCCAACATGCATAAGTTTCTCCTTTAAGTTGCTTACTAATGAAACACTGAAATTGCCAGAAAAATCCCCCAAAACTTCTGCATTGTAAAACTTCAGTCTTAAAGTACTTAAGTAACTTGAGAAAGCAATTAATCTGGAGCATTAACATAACTAAAAAAATTATTATTCCTATATGAAAATTAAAGACGATAACAGTATCTTCAAAATATATAGCACTCTCTTTGTGTAATGTCAAAATTTAAATACGGCAGTTATATTAATATAGAATAAAAACAATTTCCTAAGTAGTTCAACATCAAAAAGACAGGGTTACTTTCCAACATGCATCAGTCAAAACCTCAAGACTGCTTGGTTTTTCCTGAATCCTCTCTCTCAGAAGCAAATATACTGCATACACGCATATTTATATTTGAAATTATACAGGAGGTGTAAATTAGTTCAGATCATTGAATAAATATCTGGCAATAGAACAAATCAGCAAGTAATTAAACCACTTCTTTACTTTTAAATCTATGCCTCCCTTTCCTTTTAGTACACAAGATAATGTTTTTTTGTCCAAACAACAGGTACTTGAAATTGAGATACTTTTTTGTGGCAAAGCATATCATGTCAAATTAAAAGACGCTGGTAATTCATTCATACAAACAAACTACTAGAGGTGTGAGGTCTATACTACCCTGCTATCACCCAGTGCTGGCAGAAAGTGTTCAGCTTTTCAATGAAAAATGAAGGGAGCTTGTCCACAGATGTACCTCATACACCAAAGTGCACACTGCCTTTGAAAAGCAAAACTGCTTAATGACACAAGTTCTTCCACCAAAATATTTACCACAAATTTTTCTAAGTCACAGGATTCCAGAGAGGCAGAATTGGTGGATCGTAATGTGCTAATGGTTACCAGAAACTCAAAAGCACCTGCCCATTATCTTCTAGGATATAGGGCTTATGAACAGATCAAAACATGGACAATGTTCAAGCTCTTTGTTTCTGTTACACCATTCATCTCTTCTAACACTTCACGACTACTGACTAGTGAGCCCTTCTCAGCTAACATCAGTTACTGTCCTTTGCCAGGTATCTCATGCCTTCCACTCTGATGTAAAATAAATAGGTATGTATATAAAATATTTAATTTTATATCTTTAATACACATCCATACTTATGTATCAGGTTTTGTCTTACCTTCTACTGTTTCTATTTAAAAAGTTTATAAATGGAAAGACTTACTAAAAAGGGCATTTAAAAAGTTAATTATTTAGAGCAACAGTAAGCTTTAACAGCTCTCTTCTATATTTAAATTTATGATGACTGGTCAATTTCACAGTCCTAAAGTTTCTTATTTGTATTCAAAATATCATCTAAAGAGAGAGAAGAATCATCTTGAAATTGCACATGCAGACAATGTTTGTAAGTTATCAAGGTCAGAGCACTCTTCCTATTCTATCTTATTTGAGCACTACACAGCAACCAAATAAACTCAGAACAATAACCCCTTTGTTTTTTGATTTGTTTTTTGAGGAGTTTTTAACCAGCTGTGAAGTAAATTGGGTAATCCCGAAATTCTAAATTCTATCTACCACATGACATGGGGGCACGGTTTTCATATAGATACACGAATTCACAGAATCTTCAAGTTTAGACAATAAAGCTACAGCACAGGTTTTTCAAGTGCCAGCAGTCTCACACTATACACACTTTTGCACCCAGTGTCAGTTCTGCTAGCAAACATGCTGCCTTTGGGAGCAATACAGCTGCTAGAGCAAGTGCTAGACTGAGCTAACATGCTACAATCACACCTTCATTTCTTCATGTGGATGTCTTTAGACTCAACCTAGGTTACTTTACCAGGTAAAAGCAATTTTGTCTTGAAATTAGTAAAATATTAACTTTGAAGACACTGGATTTACTAAGTTATCAAATTACGTGTGGAAGGAAGAGAAGAAACTAAGTGAATATTTTAAATTTACTGTGAGGGTGGTTGTGGATGCCCCATCCCTGGAAGCGTTAAAGGCCAGGTTAGATGGGGCTCTGAGCAACCTGGTCTAGTGGGAGGTGTCCCTGCCCATGGCAGGGGGGTTGGAACTAGATGGTCTTTGAGGACCCTTTCAACCCAAACCATTCTATGATCCTATGAAATGCCCCCTCCCCCTGGACTGAGTTGTTCTGGAAATCACGAAGACAAAACTAAAACAAAATTTCCTCTTCTGCATTTGGCAGATCAGAAACATAATGACCCAAACAGTCTTTGGTTTTAGGAGGTCTGGGGAGGAGGGGGAAATAGTACACCACATCTTAAGCCAATCCTTTCAACATTACTGCATCCATTACTCATAGTAAAACACTTTTCGGTTTATCTGAGGACTGGTTTCACCGCTTCTTATTTAGAACATTATGAAAATCAAGTTCACAGGTTCTCTCATTCTTCTGGGTTAGACCTCCAGAATTTTATACTCTGTACAAAGACACTTGCAAAATCTAAATGTTATAGCTAATTATTTAAATAATGCATTCTTATTGAGGTTTTGGAGGAAGGGATTGTGAATAAAGTCTAAACTAATCATAGATACCAGCACCACCACCTACCTTTCTGAAGAAGCATAGCTGTGACATACAGTTTCTCTGTCTGCATAAGACTGAAAGCATGGAAGCCTGAAGATGCAAATCAAATACGTTATGTTCATAAATAAAGACTCTGAAGTGAATTCAACTCCCAGTGGAACACAATGTTTGTGCACTTTGAACAACACAGGTATTTACATACTACTTTACAGTTTGTTCCGCTAAATTTTTTAAAGCTTTCAAATTTGAAAGTAACACTTGTAACTTTTTGTATAACATTAGACTATCAATTAAGGTATATCTGAAAAACTAAAAAAAATCCAACCAACCAACCAAAAAAAACACTAAAAAAAAGAATTAAAGGTTAACTAGTGGCAGGTATTTCCAGCGGGATGCCTTGACTACCTAACTACTTAAGTTGATATTAAGCAACACTAAGGTTGTGGTAGTTCTAAATAATTACCATTTTCCCAGGGGAGGTATGAAAAATAGGCATTTTGGATGTAGTTCAATCTCACCTTGAGACAGTTAAAATATTGAGCTCAAATGCAAAGGTCTGCAGCTGGTCAGATGAACTCCATTCCCAAGTGACTTCTTAAGGAAAAAGTCTAATAGCCTTTCAGATATTAGGCTTCTTTTCTTAGAAAAGACAACAAGAGTCATATCAACCTTCCTCTACACATAAACTTTATTCATATTACTGAATCCTTCCTGTTTTTCTGTCATCATCTTCAAAATAGACTGAAATATAAACAAGTTCAAGAACTGCAAGGTCTGAATATCCCAGTTTCAGGGAGGAATAAAGCATGGAATATATGATTCCTCGCATATTGAGCAAATGAGGTGCTTATGTTACAAATATGTTTAACTGCAGTTATGATGAAGAAACATTTGTAATTATGATGACAGAAAAACAACTGAACCAGAGAAAGATTAACATCAGAGAATCTAAATGCAAGCACACAGCCTGAATATCAATCCTCAGCTTTTTTCAACAGACCCTGGTCTATTAGTTGTTTTCTTCTTTCAAATCAAGAAAGTCCCTGTGGGAAACAACTTAGCTTGGATTGAAAAATGGACTTAACAAAATGTCCAGCTTCAAAACTACTAATCCTCTCCTTCCTTCCAAACACCTAACCTAACTATGTGTGTGAATATATTTAAAAGTTTGTTTTGCTGGAAGCGCTCTTCATGTCCAGATTTCTGTTTTCAACTATTCCCAATTTTTCCATTCAAAACATCTCAGCAAATATCTCTCACCAAGAATGACCTGAAAGTAGGAATTCATGTTCCTAATGGACATAATTGGACCATTGAAAAGGCAGTACATCCACAAACAAAAAATAGCCTATCTTTACTTTTCAACAACAAAGAAATGCAAATCCCAATTTTACGTAGTAAAAAAAACCAAAAAAATCCACTTCCTGGATTTTATATCCAACAGATATTGCATCAAATGCATAAACCATACCGCAAACACTCTGCTATCCATTGACTTCATTACTTCATTCTTAGAAGGCAATTGCAAATAAACAAATTTAAAAGTTATTATGAAAGAGCTTCACAAAAAATATAGGATTAGGGAATAGGCATTTTAAAAGTGTACACAAAACAGTCACTTCAGACTATTACTACTTTTATCTTCCCTTCTCACACATAGTAATGGCAATGCAAACACATTTTTCTGTTGTGTGCTGAATCTACCTCTTTCTACATCTCTCATAAAAAATAAAGCTTGCCAACGTGTTTTTTCACATGTCAATGAAAGCCTTTACAGACGTCTGCCCACAACCTGCCTCACAAGGTAGCTGAACACCCAAGAATTACTGGGTTTGCTTTGCAGTGGCATACAAATTTGGATGAATAAACTACTGCGGTACTTCTAAATCCAAAAGAGTGGTAGAGGAATGTCACAGGCAGCTTCACAACATGCTAAAAGGCAGGGCATGTCATCTACTCGAAGTGTCGATGTTCAAATGCTACAAATAGTCAATTATTCAAGTCTAGCAAAAGTTTTCTGAATTAACATCAAATCACCCAATTCAGATTATCAAATTTAATATGTAGGCAGCTACATCACAGGCACAAAATATGACTTCTCAACATGCACTTTGATCATTATTTACACAAGCAGCATAAAATTTTAATCATCAGGCATATGCTGCTATGCAATATTAATTCAACTTTGAAACTACAGCTCTTAGAATCCAACTGTATATACTGTCAACATCTTTAAGGACAAAGAGGATGACAATTTAATAACACATTTTTGCCTAGAACAACTGGATAGTCCCTATTCTGAAAGATATATAAATGTACAAGTCATCCAAACAGGAAGCACTGAACTTCCTCTGGTAAGAAGACATTTTCTATGTCTATGCTGAGGATGACACTTTTTATTGTTTCCTCAGTAGCTTTATAAAACATACTGCATACGCATCCCCTAAATTCTCTTCCTTTTTTATAGTATCATAAAACGTCTCTCCCAAAACACCAAACACCTTCTCTTTCAGACTTCAGTGTCCTTCACTATGCCACACAACTGAGGGACAACCACACCCACTCTAATCATGCTTTTCTCTTCTTGCTGCAGTAAACCTGGGAAGAAGTTTGTTTTTCTAGATTCTTGTGGAATATCTATTCTCATCCTTTCAAAACAATGACATTTTCAATAGATCCGGTTTACCAAAACTAATTATTAAATGTACTTTCTTGTCAAAAATCTCTTAACAAACCTGACATTTAGTGGGCCATACATAAAAACTACACACCAGAGGGAACTCAGCTCTTCTGTATATCCATGAAGTGATCGATTTCTAAACCAGTTTCTTAAGTGTAAAATACCAGCACATTCTGATACAAACCTACCATTTTAGACCATTAGTAAAATGCAAACTGTGTAGGGGTTTTACAAAGAGAATTCTTGAGTTTGTGAAAGAAAATACTTCTGTGGATGATACTTTTTATAATTTAACTTCTTTCTTGAGATGGCTGTACATTGTGACATTCAAGTTCAGAAAAGCCAAAGGTACTGCAGTCAATATTGCTATGAACAAATCTCTAAAAAAAAGCTTCCCGTGGACGAAGATAATGAGACATTAGCTGTTAATGTATGTTCTTAAACCTAAATCAAATAAAAGTCTAGGGTTAATTTCAGTTGGTTTTAAACCTCTTTCATCTTTGGTTCTCTATGAAAAGGTTGTATTCCTTTCCTGTTAAGCCAAGAGAATATTCAAGAGATTACTGTGAGTCACGGACAGGTCAAGATCATCTAAATGAACTAATCTGCAAATGTGCCTTGACATTAAGACTTCAGAAAAAACTGTCCACATCCAGCATCTTCCTTGGCTACATTAATCTTACTTAATTAGTATTGTTTGACCAATATATAAACTAGACCTAGTCAAAGTCAAAGAAATGCTGCTCCATTTCTACAAGTTACACTAACTGCAATTTACTTAAAACTTCTGTGCAAAGAACAGGTGAAAGCAAAGAATTTAAGCCGCTAAACCCAACTGTTTGGAAGGAAGACATTTATTTTTACCAGAACAGAATGGGTAAAGACACTCTGATCACTAAGTAAAACAACAAATAAACAAACCAGTAGGTTCCAATCATTAGAAACTGTTCTTACTGCAAAGTATTTTCAGTTTTCGTGCCTGCTTTAAGTCAGTATTTCCCACCATGACTATGCAATAACAGCACTTCAGTAAACCATGAACAACTCCTGAAGCATCAGTTCTTTCCCATCAGGATTCTCATCAACTACAAAATATAGTCCCGTGCATAAAAGAAAAAAAAAGGAAGCTGGAAGACAACAGAATTGGGAAAAAAAGATTAAACAAACTGGATATAGAAATTTTAAATGCTTCCTGCAGAAAGCAACTTTCCTACATGAAACAACTGTCTCTAATCTGCTGCTTAACTTTCCTTTGGAATCCTCTTTTAACTCCCTACAGTTTAGCAAGAAGTTTCTTGACCTGAAAATTGCTAGAAATTCGTTATTATGGCAGATAATGGGGGAAGCCAACAGTGTAACCACTGATTTTGTAAAAGTTTTTGTTTCAGTTCCTTCTGAACCTTGAGTTCAACCGAACCATATTCAGAATCAGACATTCTTAAAAAAGAAAGTAAAACAGAATGCTTATATGCAATGAAAATAATTGAAAAATTCATAAAGTACATGTACCTGAAGAAAACAGACATTCTTCCTGAGAAAAACTAAAATCCCCAGGTTTATTATAAGAGAGAAGGATTTCAAAATACATCTGGCTTGCGTGTCTTTAAAAGTAATGCTCATTTAATCCCATATACTTCTCCATGAAGATAACTGAATTAACAGCTACATCCTTTGATTTAAAAAACCCAAATTTTTCTTTCCCTCACAGAAAACCTATTTTGTGTATGATCACTGCTCTGTATTGGGTTGATACAGTCAAATGTGAAGTGAATGGATGCTGAAAGCAAGTGCTGCACATGAAGTCCTTTACCTGACTGGTTTGGTCTCGGGGCCAATGTCTCGGAAACCCATCTCTTCCAGTCTGCAGCGTCTGTACAACTCATAGTGTTGTGCATGAGTCTTCTCTCTTAAATCTTCCATATTTGTGCAAAGCATCTTGCGAAGCTTTACAGTGTCACAGTGGCTCTCATTTTCCACTAATCAGTAAAAAGAAAAAGATTTTATTATTATGCATGAGTAGCAAAGTAGTCAAAATACATTTCAAACAGCACTGAGATTCATTTATTTTGTTTACTAAACATAATTCTAGAAAAAGGTATAGCATTGTTTATTATACCTCTTATACTTCCTTATAATTTCTAATATACAACACCGAAGTACTGAAGAACTGTAAGTACTGGTGAATATGTTTCAATATGTCCTGATTTCCTGTTTGAGCTGAACAACACGACATTTCTTCTTTTTTACCCCCTTCTTTACCGACAATCATAAAGTTTGAAATTTGGTAGAGGAACTGCCACCATACTACGCCACCCAAATACTACATACACCATCTCATACTTTGATTCCAAGGATGTATCAGTGTTGATAAAACTACCAGTTAGTGCACACCTCAAATATTAATTGCTGTTGATCCAAAATACAATCAGCATGGCATCAATGGAACAGCCTCTTGTATTACTGGTGAATTTTATACTTCAACAACAACAACAAAAATCTCATAAAAACACCTCTGAGAATTCATTTACCTTTTACAATGCCCCAAGGGTACTGACGAGCTCTCACCATTTTGTTTCCAATATTCACCTTTTCCGTACTTCCTACTACAGCGAAAGGCAAATTACCCTGTAAGAGTCATACCAATAAAGTTTTATCTCTCAGTATTCTTATGCCACAACTGAAAAACACTTCAGAAATAAATTAGGGGGAAAAACACCACTTCAGGAAAATCCAACAGGCAATTTCAAACCAAAAACCACTTTGAAGAGATCAGTAGCTAGTCACTATCTACTGATACAAAAGTCAAGCTACAATAACAAAAGCAGGAGGAGCGGTTTACAGACCCAGATGGGTGTGCTGCCAATTCAGAGGAACCTCGACAGGCTGGAAAATGGGCCAACAGGCATCTCATGAAGTGGCAATGCGAGCAATGGCAAGCCCTGCACATCAGGAGGAACAACCCCACGCCCCAGCACACGCTGAGGGCCAACTGTCTGGAAAGGCACTTTGCAGAATAAGATGTGGGGACAACGACCTGGTGAACAACAGGTTGGACCCGATTCAGCAGGTCTGCCCCAATGGCAAAGGCAGCCGACTACATCCTGCATTAGGAAGAGCATCATTAGCAAACAGAAAGCTCCTCTAGAACACATGATTCGCATTCAGTCAGAATTCATATCCCCAGTAACAGTCATGTGACAATCAGAGGTTGGAATCCATGGTATGGTTCTGCTGTGGGCTGCCCAAATGGCTGTGTGCTGACCCACAACAACTGACCAAACAAAAAAAATCATTACCTGGAAAACACATCAGTAACAGAGCATGGAAGGGGTAAGTAAGAGCCCACCACCTTTCCCCACAGCAGAAGGACCTGTCACTGACCGAGAGCTGCACATGGTCACTGCCTGGCCAAGTAACAGAGGTTCGGATACAGAGTCGTGCGTTCCGGCACACCAGCTCCTGCTCCCTGCTTTCAAACCCCGGTACACACAAACATATGTTCATGTGCATCTACAAACACTTGCACATAAACAAATGCAGAGTGCTCAAAACAAAGCCATTTAGCCTCAGAAGCTTAGTTGAAGCTGGCAGCTACTCCTGGGAGGATCTGAAAGGACAATAGAAAATAAGCCAGAATTACATCTGACTTTTTCATTCCCAAAGAAAATTTGTCCTAATTTCAAACGAAAGTACTAAGTAAAGGAAAAAAATGCAGGCAGAAGACTTGCTGTGATAAAGACCAGAGAAAACTGGAGACGCAAGGCACCTAAATATCTTCTCTAACAGATGTAAAGCTGTATTCACTGAGGAAAAGGGAAAAGTCAATCTGTCTGTCCATAATATTAATGATATATTAATTATCCAGAAATTAGAAAAAATATTTATGCACGAGAACCTCTTTTCTGTTGCTGAGCCAGAAAAGAAAAACCAAGTGATATCAACTGCTGAGGGGCAGGAAGATTTGCAAGCAGGGAAGGAAAAAGCCAAAACATATGAACTTTTTAAGGAGAGGAAAACAAACAAACTCATGACACATAAACTTATAAACTTCAAGATAATGGTGAAAGAAATTTCATTAATCAACATTAGAGAATGATGCTTTAGTACTGAAATATAAATGTTTTTGTCATTTACTTACATTCGTGATGGTATTAATTTCAGAAACAGTTTCATCATCTGTTGGAAACTGGTATATCTGGATGCCATTACTAACTAATTCACTCATTATTTTGCTCTTGAACTCCTGAAGCTCAGTTTTAGAAATGCTGTCTGCTTTGCCTATAACTGGTATAATGTTCACCTATTAATGATATAAATTATATGAAATGTGTGAGTCTTCAATTTTAAGGCAGCAACTTTTGTAACTTAAATTGTTTTCTGCTAAGCTCTTTAATTTCTCCCCCAGCCCAAACTTTTTCATCACTTGACATCAAAGCCTCACAAATCATTAAAAATATGTTCATGGGCATCATTTAAGAAAACAGCAACAGATTATTGACTAGTCTTCCTTAAAATTAATTGAATACGAGAAAAGAACAAGGAAGAAGGTCTCATGCAGTGAAGTACTCAAAAGAACAGTAATGCCTACTCATTAACTAAATGTCATTATTTATATTTCTACTAAAAAAATAGATTGTTCTAGTTTATAGCACCAGGGGATATGGTTAAGGTGTTAAATGAAAGCTGAGAGTTTACCTTCACAAAGAAAAGGAAGCTGGCTATCAAACCCTGCCTACCCCTGAGCCTCTTCCTTGGGTTCCTTTCAGCTAAAACATCATCTTCTTCACCTCACCACTGCAGCAAAGACTTTCTCAAGTATCTGATGTGAGCAGAGGAATGACAAAGACTGAAGAATCTTACTCACCAGACTTTACAGTAATTATTCAGAACTTGAAATTCAGTTCTACTAATCTGCCCTATTTCCTAAAATAGCTATGGCAGTAACTTAGGACAGTAGTAGATGCTACTTTTTTTTTAAAATCCTGACACCGCTCCCAAAACATACATTTTTCAGGACTAGATACAAATAATGAACGCTAATATCCAAATATTTTGGAAGAACAATACAAATAATTCTCCCAGATTTCAGAAGATGAGAGTTTTTAGAGTTTTTTGATCACAGATGCAAAATGGAAGGAGAGAAAAAAAATAAAAACCCCCATATTTTGTATTCTTTTGATTATTCTGTCTGAGTGAAAATGCCTAAGCATGGAAACTTAAGAACAAACTCAAAATGGCTATTTTTCAAATAAGACTTCTGTCCTAAGCAAAATGTCTAAATGAAAAGGGAGCAAGCCAACTCCGAAGTCTGACTTCTAAGACTGCATGATGATAGTCCTTAACTGTGTAACCTATGCAAACTAAGAACCTATTGGGTAAAATATCTAAAATCAAATAAAATGTTGGAATATATTTTTTTAATAAGTGAGCGCAGCTAAGAGGAATTTACAGCTTGCATCAAAATAGCTGAAGGACATCAATTTAGGTTTTCTATAATACAGTCTAAAAATGGATGGAACAGAGTCCCGAGAAACAAATTAACCTATATTCTGTATTTTCAACAGCAAAGTTTTTCAAGTAGTTGTTAATTAGGAGAGAATTACGTAGAAAATGAATAGCAGAGAAAGACTACTGAGATCAGTAACGAAAGAAAAGCAAAATCCTCAGAAACTGTGATTACAGCTGTCAACATTGATGTTACATCACAGCCATTGTATTAAAATTTAAACACATACATTTTATGTTTTAGATAAGCAACAAAGGGAAAAAAAATATTTTTGAAATCATTATTGGTTGCAAGAGCAAGTTGATTTAAGAGTACCTCTATGAATCAATATAAAAATTTCCAAAGATACTTTCAGAAGGAAAAAAAAACAAACTCAAAACCCCACAAAGTACACTCATGTAATTTCCTGACTTGAATGTAACCTGTACACAATTCCATTGGAATTAATTAAAACGGCAGATCTCTTAGTTGAATAATCACTATTCCCAGCATGAAAGGCTACAGAAAAAGATTCCCTTAATCTGTGAATGAAACCTGGTTGGTCTGTAGTGATTGCATCCTAAGCAAAACTACAGGATTTTTCAATGTCTAAAAGCTACAGTCCAAATTCTTAGCCAGTCATCCAATTTATAATTGGAAAAAAATTAATTGACCCCAGATACTCCAGTTTTTTGCTCCCAGGATTAGAGAGTACACAATGATCTTATCTATTCCAAGAGCTCTCTCTACCTGTGAGCTGTGGAATCTGGTCTTGTTTTGTACCAGGCAGACCGTAACAAAAGCACACAGCGTACACTGTGGCGGCTTTAGGAAGAAACTGAAGGCAGCTTTTGATGTGGCTGTACCATCTTCTCTTTAGGGAATCCTGTACTCAGAAAATGCACCCAGGGATTTCCACATTCTAGGAAATCCCAAATTCCTAATTGGCATAGGAGAATGCAGTACTAAAAGCACCACAACTATGTTCCACAATAAGATGGAAACCAAGCTACAGTTAAAGTATATACTTCATACACAGTTAAAGAATATACTTTTTCTGTGTATATTTCAGTAGTAAGATCAGAAAGTAGAAGCCATTACAAAGGGATAAAATAATGAAGTTCCATGTGGTTCATGTTCTCTTTGTGCCGAAGCAGAACTAAAAATAGTTACAGTAGGTGGCTAGAAGCCAAAATTCCCCAAAGAAGAATTACTTTTAGTTTATTCTGATGGAAATATTTACTCAGGATGCTGAGACTCATGGATCTACAGCCTTTTCTTTTGAAAGAAACACTGTTTTAAAGGGAGAGGGCACTACCTAGAAAACAAGTATTTTTGTGGTTAAACACAAACTCCAACTTCAAAACTCAGTGTAGAACACAGTCTTTGAGATTGTCCTATTTTCTACAGTAGTTTCATAAACATTTAAATCTGGCATAAATCAACAACATAGCACATAGAAGTGACCCCGCTCTCCCCTACCTTTGTACCACCATACCTTCCCTCCACTTGCTCTGTGCTATTGAGAAAGTTCAAAATGCAAAATACATCCACAAACAAAATTTAAAAAAATCCCAAACATGCTCATCATCACAAATGTGGACTAGACAGCTAATTTAATCCTTGTTATCTTAGATAAATATCTCAAGAACAAGAAAATGCAGGAAAAATACTTAGCAAGGATGGGCTCTATTAAAGCATTAAGGAAAGGACTAAAGGCACAGAAAACACATTTAAGTTTTCAAATGTCTCAACATTTCAACAAATTGAATCCAAATGATGTAAGGTTTCTTAAAATAGGTTAAACATTTAGCTTCATCTAGTTCACACAGCCCTATTACAGGAAGAAAGTTAAGGATTTAGAAAGAGCAAGCAATTACACTGGAAACTTCTATTTTAAAGCCTTTTAAACAAATAAACATGTTAAAACACTACTGCAGCCTATCTTCGAAAAGCACATTGGCAGGGTGTTCTGTTCATGGCAGATGCCTCTTCAGTTATCTATAACAAAGATCTTAATAGGACTGCAAAGCTTTTTATATGCCAACTTTCCAGCAGCCTGAGAACTAGAAACAACCTTAATTAGAAATACCACAGCACTCATGGAAGGTACCCTATCCAATATCCATATGATGTTTACAGTTTTAAAGTTGGTGTGGTTCTACTTTTTTTACTATTTTTTTAAACCTTGTACTTTTTTCAATGTTCTTGCTGAATGTCTCTCTCCTTTCGACTTATAAATAAACAAGTGACAAACTGCAAGCTACTTGCGGAGACAATTTATTCCGAACTTAAGGTACACCAGCACCCAAAAAAACACTGCAAAACCAAACACACAGATATAGAACTGAAAGGTGGTAGTGGACCTGAAAGCTCCAAGATGCTTCAGAAATTAAGACAAACTCTTGGAACTCTGTTTCAAAGTCTTACCTTACTGTCTAGGCTTCTCATGGTTAACAAATCTAGGGTTTTTAGGGAACGGCCTGTAGGTGAGATGAAATAGAGGCAAACATGGATGCGAGTATCATGGTAGCTAAATAAAGAACGTATAATTTTCAGTTCTTCCTGGAGATAGGCTTCAAATTGTGCATCTATATAATCCACTACTGGCTGATAGCTGTAGGAAATAAAATTTAAAAACCAAAGATTAGCTACTCCTAAACAGAACCAAACTAAGAGGGGAATTCCTCTTGCATTGTTTTATGGATTTTTGCTTTATGTGTCAAAAGGCTGCTCAAGCAGAGCTGAAAATTAAATGCACAGACTAATCTTAATTTCTGAAAAGCTACTAAAAAAAAATTGTGTATCTAGTACAGATAAAACATTTCCTAGTTACTGTTAGTGAAAAAAGGTACACAAAGTTAATTATGATTACAATGGATCTTCTCAAGTGATGTTTTTAAATTTTTCCCATCAAGCTGTACAAATGCAGAACTCTTAGATATAAGGAAGACACAAAAACCTCTTAGGTACAATACAAGAAAAGAAAAAATATGCAACTAACAGTATCAAGAAATAGGATGAACTTTATCTTCTAAAGTACTGTACGTGACAGAGCTCTTAAACAATAGACAAAAACTGAAAATGAGAAATGTAAAAGAATAATGTAAATCTGAGCAAGTACAGTCTAAGTATACTTTATCCTACTTAAAACCAGAGTATAATCTGCTTTCAAAAAGAAACTGTTGCTACATGTAGAAGCAGCGCACCCCTACATTTCGGCTGCTACACGAAGTTTATAAACCAGATCAATGCTATCAAAATTCAAAAGCAGCTGTTATACACAAAACTAAAAGAACAGTGAAAAGGCAGCTCTTATACCGCACATCAAAACCTCTAATAGCTATACTAACATGTACCTGCATCTCATTCATCCAAGTCACTAGCGGTAGCTATTATCCAGTCATATCATAAGCCATAGCTCTCATGACAATCTTAATGTCACTTTGTGACCTTCGTTTATTATTGCCACCATTTAGGCACTCAAATAGCATAAATTCTTTACAATTAGGGTGACGGAAACAACATCTGCTGAGACAGCTCAGTAGTGTAAAATCTTCAACTCATAAAAGCAGAGACTCAAAAAAGGTTCTGGAAGACACTAGTGCACTACCTCTACACATTGCCAACTAAGCCATCCAACATAAAGAACAAAGGCCTTCAGTAACCCACATGATGTTACTTCCAGTTTAAGGTCTTCAACACGTTCTAATAAAATTGTTAAAAACCCTATAGATCTAATCTACAGTACTGCTTGGCTGTTTAAAAAGCCTTTCTTTGACCTCCCTGCTTTCCTCCACCCCAAAAGAAACTACTGCATGTTGTATGTACAAACATTTATAAAAGAATACATCACAAATAAAGGGGCAGATTTCATCTGATTTATAAAGGAATTTCCTACATGAAAAGAAAAACGGGTTTACTTTGGTACACAGTGAAAACAGTTAATGATATATTTAGAACATATGTAAGCCAAATACTTACTACAAAGCCCAAAGATAAATCAACTTGCAGTTAAGACCAAAACTTCTTCATAACACAGGGACACAAGGGCACTTACCTATCTCCTTTGTTCATCTGGTCACCAAATCCCACTGTATTTACAATGGTCAGCTTCAAAAGAACATTACTCTCCTGAAGTTCATAAGTCTGGGTTCTAAGTTGTACACTTGGCAGAAAATGTGTTGATGGAGGGTCCTCAAAATTGCTGTTAAATAAACTGTTTATCAAGGCTGATTTCCCAATTCCAGTTTCTCCTAAAGTTCAACAGAAGGGTTGGGGTAGACATTTTGCACATCAAATAAATACACAGTAAGCACAGAAAGTGCCATCACAGAAACTCAACAAATTTACACAAAAACTTCTCAACTGATTTCTCCAAGCAAAATGCATTCCTGCATTCCTTTAATGAGCACTAAATATCTTTTACTTATTTTTTTTCATCCTATATATTAGGGTAAGTTACCAGCTAATGAGTAATAAGCAGAACAGTCTCTTGACACTTTGGTTTCTTTTTAAGTGTGAACTAATTTCCTACAGATTTTAAGAAGCTACATAGCTAGCTGTGAAAAAACAAGGTTCAACAAAGGCTTTTTATGAGTAAGGGTAAAATACTAGAGTAAATATTTGATAAGTATAGAAACATTTCAGTAACACCACCTTGGAATTTTAGGATTTTTTTACTCTGAAGCTCTTTGTTACAAGCGTAGTCCAGTTTACTCAGAAGAATCCAAAAAACTGCTGATGAACCAATAAACTCATGGCATCCATTTTCAACATTTTTGGTCTTCACATTGTTTACAAAAATGCTAAATATAAAACCAAAGAATGGATACAAATAAGCAAAGCTGGGGAAAGGGATAGAACTATAGTTCATGCTAAACATTAAAGAAACTATTTAACACCACAAGTGGATTTAAATTTCAGTCACTTCCTAAAGATGGGTATATTACTAAAGCCTTAAAGCACCAAGATACTACTCACCAATGCAAAGAACGTTGAAAGAGAAGCCCTGTTTGATGGATTTCTTAATCAGCTGGTCAGGTAAACTATCAAACCCAACATGCGCAGACAAGGATAAAGTTCGATAGTCACCATTTTGCTACAGAAAAATAGTTTAAAAATACGTTAATGAAGTGATTTGCAAAGCAATTAGCAATTGCAATAAATTAACTCTACTAGTAAGCTGGAACTCATTCCTTGCGATTTACATACAATGAAGAAAAGCCGAAGTCTGGAAAAAAAAAAAATCTGTCAAATCAACTTTATTCCATGATTTAAGAATACTGAAATTTACGTGAATGAAATAAAGCAGACAAGTCCAACTGAAAATGTAAACTGCAAACCACAGAGAGAAAACAGATCACAATTGGTTTGCTCCTAGAAATTAAGGACATCAAGGCACTGAGCATACAAAAAACACATAAGACTAAAAGGAAATATCTTGGTTCATACAAACTAACTGTATTTTCAAACAAACTTTCCATATCAAAAGTGTAAATGGTAACAGGTCCATGCTATTTTTTCTCTTATATTTTCAACCCACATGGAATGGGAAACCATTACTGGTTCCTGGGAACACGCACACGGTGAACAGTAGGAAATTTTTTAATTTAACACTTAAAAGCCCATAAAAGTGCTACCTTTTTTAACAGGAATGCATAGCAAGTCTCAGAATTCCTGTAGCTTAAAGGATACGGACATTACTCACAGTAAATACTCATCCTCTTCTTGATTTGCACAGGATTCCCTTGTGGGACTACAGACTGCACTGCACCAACTGCACCAACTCTCATTTTAGACTATTATAATCTAGTAATTGCATTTTAGACTAACAGAAAGGAGAATGTGCACGCAAAGTGAAGAATTTAAAGGGAAAATACAAGATCTTTGGGCTATAAAAAAATAAATGTACATTCAAAACATGTCTGAAAGTGAAATTTCTCAAGGTATTCTACCAGAAGGAAATTACTATTAAAAAGTGATGAGAAACACTGAAAACTGTCAATATCCTGTCCCTTTAAAGACAAGTGTATCTGAGACAGTGGGAGCACATCTAAGAACTCTAGTTACACAGCTCTATTGCTACCAATAAAAGACAGTTCTAACACCAACCATTCAGCCTCCACACCAAAAAGCCAGTGTAAGAGGCTTAGCGTGACTGTAGAAGGGAGCCTTTTCATTTTTCTGTCACTAGCCTAAATCCAAACCGTGCTGACCTACTCTCAAAACCCCTGCATAATCATTCGTCACTCTCCAAGAAAAGACCCTAGCAGAAAGAACTTTATTTCCTTCTGAAGTCCAGATGTTACAAAGATAAATTACTTGTTAGTAGAATCACCTTGATAAGATTTAGGGCTTGACACACCTGAATGATCTCAGACCTAGTGTGAGGGGAGAAGGATGTATTGCTGATAGTAGACACAAAGAACGCAGAATTTACAGGCCACAAGGACATTTGGCAGAATTCCCAATATAAGGAAGAAACTAACAAAGCCAACTCAGCAGCTGTGCTGAAAACAGCTCTAACCAGGCAAAAGGTAATTCTGGCTGGGGGAAATTGGGACCACCAACTCACATCCCACTGACTCAAGAAACCCACCAACTCAAAAGAAGAGAAGGACTGTGGACTAATTAGCATGAGAAGCGAGAGAATAATTTAATGATAGAAGGTAGACCACTAATTAAAAAAAATGTGTAGCCAATGAACAGTAATTTCTTTGTTTCCTAAAATGTGTAAATGGTGCAGGGTTTTGATGACTGAGGCCTAGCACTCTGTGCATTATCACCTAGCTCCCTACTTTGCACAAACTAGAACAAAGAAATAGAAGTACCTCATCCTGGTGTGTAAATTGGCTCTGCATATAAGGAAGTGAGCCCTCATTCAGGACAACACCTCCACCTTCCTTACAGAAGAGTCACAGTGTAAACCTGTTCTACATGACAGCAATCTCTTAATAGAAAAGCAGTAGCCTACGTTTTTCCTTCTGAAATTTTCCAAGGGCATCATGTGTTTGTCTCTAACCTCAGCACCTCATACAGCTTCATCTGCTACCATCTAATGAATACATAAATTAAATCCACGAACTGACCACATACCTGCATTCCTACTACTTCCAAAAGAAATAATACATCGTGTAGTTGAAAAACAAGTTACTAGTGCATTGCTAGATTAGAAAAATGGTGGTAATTCAAAAATCATACAGTCATAGAATGGTTTTGGTTGGAAAGGACCTTAAAGAGTATTCCAGGACATCTTCCACTAGACCAGGTTGCTCCAAGACCCTGGATGCTCCAACTTGGCCTGGAACACTTCCAGGGATGGAGCATCCACAGCTTCTCTGGGCAACCTATCCCAGTGCCTCACCACCATCACAGTAAAGTATTTCTTCCTCATATCTAATCTAAAGCTACACTATAGAAAGAAATCTACCCTAAATTATGAACTGTAGATCATACTGAAAGTTACCTTATTAGCTAGTCTCTTCAAATTAGTATCTGTTGCATGGAGCAGCTTAATTATGCTTGAAGACAGCATCTCATTCAACTTTACTCAGTGAATAACTCAAACCTTATCATCTGAATGCTAGCAAAGCTGCAATATTCCCATAAACACTTCCTGTTTCTCACTGCTTCCTCAGAATTGACACTCTCAACAAAACAGCACATAATATAGATAGCCTGAGATGGTCTAAATACATCTTGCTCCTTCCCTCACTCCCTTTTTAAAAGGCTAGTAGCATAGCTAATGCGTCTGGATTTCTGCAGATTCATTACACTGGATGGGGCTCTGAGCAACCTGATGTAGTGGAAGGTGTCCCTGACCGCAGGGGGGCTGGAACTAGATGATCTTTGAAGTCCCTTCCAACCCAAACCATTCTATGATTCTATGATTTAATCAAATATTTTGGTATATATAAAGTCATCTTGCCCATTAAAAACAGCATGCAAAGAAAAATCATTGCCTGAGACAGCATAACATTTAAAAACTATTCTTTCTTGCAGAAAGAAACTAAAAAAATTAGTTATCTTTTAAATTTGCCACATCTTTCTGACTAAAATTGCACAACACAGGGCCATTCCACAGCAAAAGCTGGGTCTCAAGACTACAAGCATCTCTCTGCAGAACCCTCTGCAGAACCAGACTGGCAGTCCAGGCAAAAAGCTAGCTTTCCATTGAGCTGGTAGAGATGACTGAAATTTACCCTTCAAAACCTGAAGAAAAAAGTAATCAGTGTGTGCTGAGGTAGGAGGCGAGGGTCTCGCCAGCCCCAGGCGGCTACACAGGCTGCACGGAAGCCCTAGGAAAAGATGCCTAGGCATCAGCCCCGAGGGTGGACATCACCACACTGACGTGCCAATGGGCACCCCAAATGGGACTGTTTCAGCGCCCTGAGTTTTCCACTACCATGAACAGGTGTGGGCATTAGGGAATTAACGGTCCAGCACTGACGCGTGGATGGGTTCGACGTCCTCAGAGCATAAAGCTGACAGCTCTGCCATGACGCAAAAACAATTCTTCAGTAGCCAAGATTCAACTTATTACTTGAAATATGCGATGCGCCGCAGGAGCGCTAAGAAGGGTGACATCTGTTAACAAGTTCCTTCAACAACAAGTGTTCTAAAAGCCTGGCAGCTCCAGGAACTACACGGCATGTGGAGGGATGATCCATTTCCCGCGCACTCCCGATCCCCGCCTTGAGCAGCCCTCACCAGCGCCCGGCACGGACGCGGGGCAGCCCCTGGCCCCCCGCGGAGAGGGCAGCTCAGTTCGGGCGGCACTTCCACCTCTTGGCACAGAGTTACCGCCGCTCTCCTTCCCCTCCCGGTGCCGGCGCTGCCGGGCCCATCCGTGCCCGCAGCCGCGCCGGGGTCACCCCCAGCTCATGGGGCTGCTTACCAGCCGCTCCCCACACCGCGGAGGGGACTTACCGGATGCCGACCAGCATCGGAAGCAGCCATACCCTCACCAGGCGAGGCAGGGAAGAAGTGAGGAAAGCAGGGATGAAGGGAAAAGCTCGGCCAGAGCGGCCGCCAAGGGGGCAAAGCCACGCGGCGGGGAGGAGCGCGGGGCGGGGATGCGGTCCCGGCTCCGCCGCCGAGGCGGGCATTAGTGGCGGGCGCCTCCCGGCCGGAGGGCGGCGTGGTGTCGCTGCCGCGGCAGTGATTGCCGGGCATGCAGCCGCCGGGAGGAGGGGCGAGGGCAGCGACGGCTCTGCCGCGCCCGCGCCACCACAGGCATCAGGAGCAGCAGGAGGAGCGGCGCGGCGCGATGGGGTAGCGGCGGCGATGGCGGAGCCGGCGGAGCTGCAGCAGGAGTCAGTGGTGCGGTTCCTGGCGGCGCGGGGCGGGCGGGCGCGCAACGCGGAGCTGCTGGAGCATTTCCGGGACTGGCTGAGCCCCGCGGAGCCCGCCCGCCGCGCCGCCGCCCGGCACCGTTTCAAGGAGCTGGTCAACGCCGTGGCCACCGTGCGCCAAGAGCCCGGCACCGGAGTCAAGTACGTGCACCTCCGCCGCCGGTACTGCGCCCCGGCGCCCCCCGTCGCCGCCCCCCCGACCCCCGGGGAGCAGGAGCCGCCGCCGGCGGTGAGAAACAGCGCGGAGCGGTCGAGCCCGCCGCTCTCGCCGCGGGCGGGCGCTGAGGAGGCGCCGCCGCCGCCGGCAGCGGGCGAGGATGCCGGCAGCCGCCCGCAGCCCGCGGGGCGGCGGGGAGAGCCGCCCCGGCCGAGCACGGCAGCGGCCGGGGGCCAGCGGAGGGGCTCCCGCCGGGGGCCACGGCCCGGGCGCGGTGGAGGTGGTGGCGAGGAGAGCGCGGTAGCGGAGGGCCCAGGGCAGCCCCCCCCACCAGCGGAGGAGGCGGGGGCGACCGAGGGTGCCCCCGGGGCGGTGGCGCAGAGCGGCGGCCGCCGGAGCCTGCGGGAGGCGGCGCGGGGCGGCTCCCCCCAGCTGAAGCGCGGCGCCCTCCCCGGCGGGGGCCGCGGCCGCGACTCGGACAGCGCCTCGGTGGCGTCGTCCTCCGCCGAGGACGAGGGTAGCACCACCGGCGCCGTGGCCCTGGACCCCCTGGAGCACGCCTGGATGCTGTCGGCCTCGGACGGGCGGTGGGAGAGCCTGGAGGGGCTGCTGAGCTGCGAGCCGGCGCTGCTCTGCAAGCGGGACTTCATCACCGGCTTCACGGTGCTGCACTGGGCCGCCAAGCACGGGCGGCAGGAGCTGCTGGCCACGCTGGTCAACTTCGCCCAGCGGCACCGGCTGCCCGTGGACATCAACGCCCGCACGAGCGGCGGGCACACGGCGCTGCACATCGCCGCCATGCACGGCCACGCCGAGGTGGTGAAGCTGCTCGTGGGTGCCTACGACGCCGACGTGGACATCCGCGACTACAGCGGGCGCAAGGCTGCGCAGTACCTGCACCACAGCACCTCGGGGGACATGCGGAGCCTCGTGGGGGCCCTAGAGGAGGAGGAGGAGGAGGAAGGGAATGCTGGCAATGGGAGCGGACGGTGGAGGCTGTCCAAGGTGTTGCCGTCCAACCTCATGAGCTACCGGCTCTCCCACCACCATCATAGCACTGGGGAGGAAGCTGAGGGCACCGACGGGGCAGCAGTGCCGGGCAAGGGCAAGGAGATGACCAGGAAAGCCTCCGGCAGTGGACGGATGAAGCCTCGGCTTAATAAGATCCGCTTCAGGACTCAGATCATCCACAACACGCCCTCCTTTCGTGGTGACACCGAGGAAGAAGAGCATGAGGAGAAATCCCTCAAAACGTCGTTCAAGCTCAGGCCAAAGTCCAATGTTTTTGGATAAGGCTGTGGAGCAGGAGGTCTGGGAGGTGGGTGCACGGACCAAAGTGCCCTAAGGTGTAGCACAGAAGGTGAGGCAGGTACTAGTGGGTGCTCATCTACACTCGTGGATTCCAGCCAAATGGGTTCTGAGTATCTTGCTTTAACTCTCAGTTCAGTGGTGTCAGTGAGCCCAGTGGGTCAGCGGGGTTCTGGGAGCTCACAGCTCCCAAGAGCAGCTGCTTTGGCCGGGCCCTCGGTGCTGAAATAAGAGCCAGCAGATGGGCTGAGAAACGCTGGGGTGTTTAAAAGCTGTGCTCCTTTCTCTCTAAAAGCAGGCTTCAGTATCATAAACTGGTGTTAGTGGATCTACTAGGATTAGCGAGTTGAGGGGAAAAGGACAAATGCTTTACTCTTGTATTATCACCTGGTACTATAAACTACTGGCAAACAACTTGCTATATCAGAACACCTCAGTAATATGCAAGTATACCTTAAGTTTCTGTTTAACAGCAATACCACCTGGCACAGTGTGGAGTTGGGTACCCACAATGAGATGGTAGAGAGTGGTTTCCTGTCAGAACCCAAGCTTTGAGCCATCAAAAACTTGAGCCTGTGTTGACTTTATGCATTGAAAATTGCCTGATTTGACATCATAAATATATTAAAAAAAATCAATTGCACTGCAAACAATGAATAAAGTTAACCATGTGCAGAAGTCTCTGTTGTTTGAGGTACTACTGAGCTTGCTTATTGCTGTTGGAATACTAATTCAAGATAATAGAAGCAAAGAGTTTTTATATATTTGGTATCTTATGTTTTGTCTTAGGCAAAGCAATTTTATTTTAATCACTGTGAATTCTCAAGTGCCAGACCTAGCGCAGTTCCAGTTATAAAGTCTGGTCAATTCCTGTTAATATTCTTTGTGTAACTCACTGCATTTAAAATCAGAAAATTGTGTTGTATGTGTTACCTGTGAAAGTTGTTCTCTTTTAGAATAAAAGAGCAAGACACCATTGCATGAAATCTTCATGAAACTCTAATATGGTCCTGTACAGGTCTGTATTCACTCCTGTACAGGTCTGTATTCACTCCTGTACAGGTCTGCATTCACTAGCATCTTGTGTGCTAGTCCCTTCAACTGACTTTGTGCAGAAATGGAGAGAAAAATAAAAAAGAGGGGAAAACAAAGGAAGGTGTGTGAATTCACACACGGAGTGAAAAACTAGAATTCTGAAACTATCATTCTGAGTGAAGCAGTATAATTGCATATCATAATCTAGTTAAGTGATGGCAGTGGTTTTTGAGTTCTTTTAAACCTGTGTGTCTAGAGAAGTGATAGCCAAGGTTTTGAACTGTTGTTTAACAACCTAGTAAGTCTTCATCTGATTGATGAGCCTATCCATCTGCTAAGCTTTCGGAAACCTTGAATCTTGTTTCTCTGCTTTCAAGATAGCAATTCCAGTGAAATCTAGCAGGCAGATTTGTATCCATATTCAGCTTTCCTTAAGAACTGAGGTATTGAGCTGACCCTGGATCCTCAATGATGCTCAACGTAGCAGCTCATCTGTGTTCACTTGTTAAGGTTTGGCCTGTTTCAATGCAACATTTGTCAAAGCATGATTCGAGTTGGCTTCCTAGAATGCATATGCATGTCTGGCCAGTAGTTAAGCAAAAGTAGATAGGCTTTGACACGTTGAAATCCAAATTTGAGACACTGATTAAATGCATGCCACAAGCTGTAGAATACCTCACAGGGGAGCTGCTGCTGGGAGTTGTGCACTTTCAAGGTAACAGCCATCTGTGGTTCTTTCTGGTGGCTTACATTTCTTGTAGCAACAGGGGAAGGAAGTGCTGCCAATGCATTGGCTTTAGACTTCCCATGCAGATAAATTACCAGTTTCTGCACTTTGTGTCAAAGCTAATAAATGACAGTGTTTGCATAGGCATGCAAGCGACACTTTAACTATTTCTGGGAAAAGTTACATTTTAAAAAATTAAATCTCTGTGTAGGTGCTGGTCATTACTTTTGTGCAAAAAGACTAGAAATTATACAGAGGTTCAGCTTTAGTTTATAACTTATAGCTATATTGATATAGATTTCATGTGCCTTCATTTTGGGTTGGTTGCCACATATGTGATGGATAAAATCAGTCTTGCAAAGCACTTTTTCTTTACATCTGTGGGATGGGACCAGAAATTTTCCCTTGACCCTTCCCATTTAAGCTGTACACCTGTATAACAGTGGGGTGTGTGAAATAGAGGGAGGGACCAATCATACAAATTATAGCATAGAGCTAATTCTGTTGCAACAGAAAAGAAAATTAAATGCCTAAGTCTTAAACTTCCTTCTCTCTGGAAGATAAATCACTTTTTAGACTTCTTTGGGAAGGAAGTTTTCTGACTGAATGCTTGCAATGTGAGCTCAATTGAGAACATATTCCATGCAACTACCAATGTCCAGACCTTATTAAAGTAGCTTTTCTGCTTTGAGAGTTTATAGTTGTTTCATACAAGTTGGGTGAAGTGTTTATCTCTTCACGTGCAAATAGCAAAGAATTGCACAAAAATAATGAGTTTTAGATAGATGTTGGGTTCTGGGGGAATAATTTGAGGGTTTTGAATATAGCACACCTTGGATTTGAAGAGACTTAACTGGAACATAATCTTGCATAATACAGTAGAACTTTGGTAATTATTAAGGGAACTTGAAAAATAGGAAAAAGATGCCTCATTTGTAACTCATTACTTGACATTTCAAAGTGAAATTGTTGGTCCACTGATACTGTTCACCTGTCAATTAATGAAATTTCACCACAATGGTCCAAAGGTCTTTGCAAGGTGGGATGCAACAGAGCAAACATGTCTTGGTGTTTGAGATATACTGAGGAATGACTAGATAACTACTTGTGTCTGTCTGCGCTATGGAACTAAAGCACTTTGATTTCACGACTTGTCACATTCCACAGGGTTACTTTTTATAACATGAGCTAAAATTTAATGGGGTTTTTTGAGATGGGAAAGACTCTGTTTCAAGATATTTACAGTCTAAACGTATGCTTGCGTCAAATATTTTGGGTACATTGCCTAGAAAGATGTGAATTTGAAATAAAGTTGTATGGTACAGAAAACTGGAGCACTTACTGGTATGTTTAAAATGGTACGTCTGAAGTTACTGGATGTGTTCAATTTTTATGATGTGTGTAAGGTGGCAAGACTGTAATGTAAACATTTGGTATCTTTTGTTGTACCTTATGTTGGAAAAAATTAGAGGCCTGGAAGTCAGTTTTTATTAATACACTTTTTATGGATGTCTCTCTGAATGATTATGAGTTAAGAATCTGTAAGCTTTGGTTTTACAAAATAAAAGAGCCCATGAACTGTTTATGCTTGACTCAGCTCCTGTATGCTACATACTTAGGTGCTATGTGCAT